TATATATATATATATATATATATATGTATATATATTTGTGTATATTTATATATTTATATATTAATATATTTATGTATATGTATATTCAGGTATTATTAGCACCAACACAGGATGTATATTACCGTTTAATGAATATACATCCTTTATTAACATTAAGAGATTATCCTTATTCAATAATAATAAATGGTAGCAAAGATAGTAAATGTCCTCTTGATGATTCAATTAGACTTGTAGAGACAGCAGAGATAGGAAGATGTAGATTAGAAGTTGTAGATGATGAGCATAATTTTTCTACTCTTACTACTCAAGATTTCAAGTAAGAATATATGTATATATATATATATATACATTTCTTTTTCTTCTTTTTCTCCTTCTTTTTATTATCTTTTTCTCTTTTCTTATTACTTATTTTATTCTATTCTTTATTCTCTTTCTTTTTATTAGTTTTCTTCTTATTTTTATCTATAAGTTGTTGATTATGAACATAATTTCTCTACTCTTACTAATTAAGATTTTAACTAAGCATACCTTTTTTTTCTTCTTCTTTCTTCTTTTTCTCCTTTTTCTTATTATCTTTCTTATTTTTCTTATTACTTATTTTATTCTCCCCTTTATTCTCTTTCTTTTTGTTAGTTTTGTTCTTATTTTTATCTATAAGTTGTTCATGATAAACATAATTTCTCTACTCTTACTAATTAAGATTTTAAGAAAAGGATACTTTTTTTTTCTTTTTTCTTTTTTTTACTAGTCTTTTTATTATCTTTTTTTCTTTTCTTATTACTTATTTTATTGTCCTTTTTGTTCTTTTTCTTTTGGTTAGTTTTGTTTTTATTCTTGTTAGTATTTTTATTGTTATTATTGAAGTTGTAGATAGACGTCGTCAATTATATAACATATAATAATATATTTATTTATTTTTTATTTAATTTATTTTTTTATTTATTTGTACAGAAATTGGGTAGAAGAAGCTTACCATAAAGGAGCAGAAGTAGCAAAGGCAGAAGAAGAAAAAGGAAATAAACAAATAAATTATTCTTTGTATAAATCTCTTGATGATATTAAGCAGAAAGAAGAAGAAGAAAAAGAAGAAAAAGAAAAAGAAAAGGAAGCAGAAGAAGAAGAAAGACAAAGAAATACAACACAACCACAAGGTGTTGCCCAAGTATAAACAATTTACACAGCTTCCCTGCATGCATGCAGGGAATGCATGCATGCAGGGAATGCATGCATGCATGCATGTATGTATGCAGGGGATGCATACATGAATGCATTCAGGGGATGCATGCAGGGAATGCATGCATGCATGCGAGGAATGCATGCGTGCATGCACGCATGCACGCATGCAACAACGTACTAGTTGATGCATGCATGCATGCATGCATCAACTAGTACGGGTGCTGCTAGCCCCAAACACTTGGCAAATTTTGCTGCTGCTGATTTGCGCTTATCTCAATACTTTTCTCTCCATGCAACTCGTGTTGCTGCTGCTGCTGTTGCTGCTGCTACTGTTGCTGCTGCTACTGTTGCTGATGCTACTGTTGCTGCTGCTACTGCTAGGGAGATACACACAGACACCTAACGAGGAGACAAATAAGAAATAATAATCCCTTATATTCTCCTTTTGTATTCCCTCACGTCTGTGTTAACAACCCCACCAGTGGCAAGAAGGAAGAATAATAATAAATATAAATAAAAAAATAATTAATTAAATTAATTAATTAATTAATTAATTAATTAAAAAAAACGACGGCTGCAGGGTTCGAACCTGCGCGGGCATAGCCCATTGGATTTCAAGTCCAACTCCTTAACCACTCGGACAAACCGCCACAACCCGGGCGGCCTGGTCAGCATGCATGCATGCATGCATGCATGCATGCAAGCCCAGCCAGCCCCATCGTACTAGTTCCTTCGTTGGACAGGCAACGGGGGGCAGCTAGCTCGTAGTCTATACTCTGTTAGATAGCTAGCCAACTATCTGGCTGTCGAGGCTGCCAACCTTATTGCTAGCTAGCTAGCTAGCTATCTAGCTAGCTAGCTAACATCTCTCTAGCTAGCTAGCTGGCTAGCCAAGTGCTAAGAGGCATAAATAGATAACATGATGTGTACTCAGATAGCTACCAGTCTAGCAAGGGTTTAGGGTTTAGGGTTTAGGGTTTGTACAATTCTAAAGGATCTATAAGAGTTAGCAGACAGCCCTCATAACTTGCATGTGTTTGCTGCAGCTGCTGCAGCTTCTGCTGCTGCTACTGCTGCTGCTGCTGGTGCTACTGCAGCAGCTAGTGTCTCAAGAGTAGAGGGTTCCTTCTGGGGTACCCCAGCTTCTAAACCCTAAACCCTAAACCTCCTCACAAGCAGTGTGAGGCCCATTTAGGGTTTACGGCAAACCCTAAACCCTAAACACTAAACACTAATCCCTAAACCCTCACACACCATGTCTTCTTACCTCCTATCTATGCCCCCAAGAAACAAAACCCTAAACCCTAAACTATAAACTCTAAACCCTAAACACTAGACAATCAACCATGTATGTACCCTCCTACCCTTGGGGGCCCCCCTGGGGCCCCACGGGGGGCCCCCCCTATAACACCGTGAGGTCTTTTATGACAAACAGAGGGAAGAAAAATAAAAATAAATATAAAATTATTTTTTATATTTATTTTTTTTTAATAAAATAGCAGCAACGGTGACAGCAGCAGGGGCAAGCAGCAACAACTGCAGCAGCAGCAGCAGCAGCAGCAGCAGCAGCGGCAGCAGAAGACACGCAGCTTCAGTTGAAGAGAAAAGAGGCAGCAGCAGCAACACCTTCTGCTACAACATCTTCATTCAGCAGGTCACAATACAGCTGCTGCAGTTGCTGCAGTTGCTGCAGCTGCTGCAGCTGCTGCAGCTGCTGCAGCCGTAGCAACAGCAGCAGCATCAACAGCAGCATCAGCAGCAACATCGGCAGCAACAACCACAACAACAGCAACAACAACAACAACAACAACAGCAACAGCAACAGTACCAGCAACACCAGAAACAACAGCAGCAGCAGCAACAGCAGCAACAACAACAACAACAACAACAGCAGCAGCAGCAGCAGCAGCAGCAGCAGCAGCAATGGTATTTTATGAGTTACATATGCTGCTATCCCGTCGTATGGGTAGGGCAGAGTTGCTGCAGTTGCTGCAGCAGCAGCAGCAAATAATAAATAAACATAATGGTTGTCTATTAGAGGTTAGGGATCTAGGATTCAGAGAAACTGCATTCAGGTAATCCTTGCTGCTGCTGCTGCTGCTGCTGCTGTTCCTGTTGCTGCTCCTGTTGCTGCTGCTGCTCCTGTTGCTGCTGCCGTCGTTGTTCCTGTAGCTGCTGTTGTTGCTGCTGCTGTTGCTGCTGCTGTTGTTGTTGCTGCTGCTGCTGTTCTACTGTTGCTGCTGCTGCATTGCTGCTATTGCTGCTCAGTGGATCTGTCTGTGCCTCCGCAGCTGCTGCTGTTTGTTAGCGTTAGTTGTATATGTATTGAATGGTTCGCTGCTCCTGCTGCTGCTGTTGCTGTTGCTGTTGCTGCTGCTGCTGCTGCTGCTGCTGCTGCTGCTGCTGCAGGGTAAAGAAGAGTCGTGAGTGTGCTGCTTATTATGGTCGAGTTGTTGGCATCGCCTTTGGCGCTAAGCCAACTGTTGTACCAGAGATTGATGCTGTACTACAGGTACCCTGCTGCTGCTGCTGCTGCTGCTGCTGCTGCTGCTGCTGTTGGTGCTGCTGTTGCTGGTGATGGTGTTGTGGTGGTGTTGCTGTTGTTGGTGCTGCTGCTGTTGCTGCTGTTGCTGTTTTTATCTGTATGTGTGCTGTTACTCCTGCTGCTGCTGTTCCTGCGGCTTATTGTGCTGCTCCTGCTTCCATTGCTGCTGCTGTTGCTGCTGCTGCTGCTGCTGCTGCTGCTGCAGGCTACAGGGGGAGTGCTGCGACACACAACACAGAAGCTCCGCTATCGCAGCAACTTCTTAACCTATAATTGTTATAAACATAGGCCAGAACCCGAGTAGCAGCAGCAGCAGCAGCAGCAGCAGCAGCAGCAGCAACTGTTGCTGCTGCTGCAGCACATGCCTTTGTTTATTAGTGCAGGTGCAGCAGCAGCTGCTGCGAGGACATTTGCTGCAGCAGCAACAGTCTCCTTTGTTGCGTTGTTCGCTCTAGTTGATGCAGCATAGGCAACTTCCTCTGCTGCAGCTGCTGCTGCTGCTGCCACTGCAGCAACGGCAGCAGCTGCTGCAGCAACAGCAACAACTACTGCTCGTTTAAGGTTTGTTTTCTGTGTGCGACTACGGCCGAGTGCTGGTGCTGAGTAGCTAGCTAGCTAGCTAGCTAGCTAGCTAGCTAGCTAGTCAGGTACCTAGTTAGCTAGCTGGCTAGTCAGGTAGACAGCTAGCTAGTAGTCAGGTAGCTATCTAGCTAGCTAGGTAAATAGAGGGTAAGTTAGCTGGCTAGCTGCTGCCAGCCGGCGAGCCTCCTCACCGCCCACTGTTCGGCAGGGCAGGCAGCTCTGCTGCTGCTGCTGCTGCTGCTGCTGCTGCTGCAGCTGCTGCTTCTGCTGCTGCTGCAGCAATATATCCTCCTTTTAAAAAACTGTAGGGTTGGTCCCTCGCAAGGCAAAGCTGCAGCAAATAAATTCACCACTTTGCTACCTACAGCTAGCTAGCTAGCTAGCTAGCTAGCTAGCTAGCTAGCTAGCTAGCTAACGGGCTGCTGCAGCTAGCTGCAGGTTGCAGCTAGCTAGCCAGTCATTGCAGCTAGCTACAGCTAGCCATGGCTAGGTACAAGTTGCTGCTAGCTTATGTGTATAGAAGTTGTTGCCATCTAATGCCTCGAGCAGCAGCAGCAAACGCTGAGCTACCTGAGGGCATACAGCTGAGGAGAGCAGCATCTGCTGCTGCTGCTGCTGCTGCTGTTCGCTGCTGCAGCTGCTGCTGTAGCACTCTTCAGCAACACGTGCAGCAGCTGCTGCAGCTCTGCGGTGTATATGCAGATTCTCCTCGCTGCCGCATGCAACATTTGCTGCTGCTGCTGCTGCTGCCTTTAACAGCCCCACAACAGCAACAGCAGCACGCCGGGTGTTAAAACGAATTGCTGCAGCACAGCAGCAGCAACAGCAGCAGCAGCAGCAAGTGCTGCAAAACCAAACCTCCCAGCCCATGCAAACAAACACAGCAGCAGCAGCAACAACAACAACAACAACCGCAGCAACAGCAGCAACAGCAGCAGCAGCAGGTTGTGCTTACCTTCTGCAGCTTGAGCGTATTTCTTCATTGCTGCAGTAGCTTCGGGCCCCAAATCATCTAGTTGCTGCACCTGCTGCTGCACCTGCTGCTGCTCGCTGCTGCTGCTGCTGCTGCTGTGGCGACGGTCGGTGAACCTTGGGGTAGCAGGTGTGCTGTATGCCTCTCCTTGCTGCTGCTGTTGCTGCTGCTGCTGCGGCGATGCAGGGATTGAGAAATCCAGCAGCAAGGGATCGTTTTGCTGCAGCAGCAGCAGCGGCTGGTGCTGCAGTCCTGCAGCAACAGTAGCTAGCCGCAGCAACTGCAGCAGCTGCATAGGTGCCCGCAGTAGCGTAAGAATATGCGGTGCTGCTGCAACATTAGCAGCAAAGTTTAGTGGTGATGAAGGTATGACTCCTGCTGCTGCTGCTGTTGCTGCTGCTGCTGCACTGCCGACACCTCTAGCTGCTGCTGCAGCGGCAGCTGCTGCTGCTGCGTCTGCCTCTGCTGTTGCTGCAGCAGCGGGAGATAGTGGCACTAACAAGACAGCCAGCAGCAGCAGCAAGTGTTGCATGTGATAGGCAGCAAGCTGCTCGGTGTCTGTACACTGCAGCAGCAGCAGCAGCAGCGGCCTCTCAGCAGCAAAGATACAAAGCCCCAAATGTGCCTTAAATGCATGCAGGAGGTGCAGCAGCTCTTGTCTTGCTGCTAACACAACACCATAGAAGCGAAGTATAGCGTTGCTGCTGCTGCTGTAGGTATATATGCTGCTGCTGCTGCAGCGGCGGCGCTGCTGCTGGAAGGCAGCAGCAAAGACAGGAGACACCTGCAGCAGCTGCTCTGCTGTCATAAGAGATCTACGTATCTCTAAGTTATATGCTAATATAGCAGCAGCAGCAGCAAGAGCAGCAGCAGATATAACTGTGGGGCCATTTATACGAGGGCCCTTTAGCTTCACCTGCAGCAGCAGCAGCAGCAACAGCAGCAGCAGCAGCAACAGCAGCAAAATGCATGCACAAAAGACACAGCAGCAAAACAGCACCAAACAGCAGCAGAAGGGCGTATAAACAGCAGCAGCACACAACACCCATCAACAGCAACAGCATCAGCAGCAGCAACAGCAGCAGCAGCAGCAGCAGCAGGAGCAACTGTACCTGCATGCATGCAAATGTAAGAGAGAGAGACTGTTGATTAATAAGAAGAGGAGGTGTCTCCTCTAAGGAGACAGTTAGTCCCTTTAATGCTTCTTGCTGCCGCTGCAGCGAGAAAAGATCAGCATACACTGCAGCACGACCTCTTATAACTTTATTTATTAACCTGCTGCTGCTGCTGCTGCTGTTGCTGCTGCTGCTGTTACTGCTGCTGCTGCTGACTATGTCTGCTATGGCACCTTCAGCTGTTAGGGCAGCACGCATGCGCGCATGCAGCTGCCAGGCTATACCACCAGCATTGAAGCTCCCTGCTGCTGCTGCTGTTGTTGTTGCTGCTGCTGCTGCTTTTGGTGCTGCTGCTGCTGCTGCTGCTGCTGCTGCAGTTGTCAAGGCATTTGCAGAACTCGGCAGCTGCAGCAATCCATGGAGGCCCAGAGGATGCCAATCCTGTACCTGCTGCTCTTTCTGTCGCTGCTGTCCCTTGCTGCTGCTGCTGCTGCTGCTGAAGGCCTCCTGCAGCAGACTATTAAGCAGCAACGGGTCCACATGTGCTAAGGGCGCATGCACCCTCTCGTACAGCAGCCGCAGCACAGGCAGCAGCAGCGCCTCGTCCTGCATGTATGCATGCATGCAAACACACACATCAAACGATGCAGCAGCAGCAGCAGCATCAGCAGCAGCAGCATCAGCAAGAGCAACAGCAGCAGCAGCAGCAGCAGCAGCAGCAGCAGCAGGAGTACCTGCAAGGAGAAGAGTGCCCTAATAGCAGCAATTTGTTCTAATGCTAATCCCTTATGTAGTGTCTCCAACAGCAGCAGCTGCTGCCCCTGTCTCCTTAATTCCTTCAGGGGGCGCAGCAGCAGCTGCTGCAGCAGCAACGTTGTAGGCAGCAGCAACTCTTGCTGCTGATTATTATTATTATCCTTGTCCTGCTCCTGCTTATTGTCTTCCTGCTGCTGCTGCTGCTGCTGCTCTATGATGCATCCTCCTGTTGCTGCCAGGACGAGGGCGCATGCATCTTCTTCCTCGGAGTCGCTGCTGCTGCTGCTGCTGCTGCTGCTGCTGCTGAGACATGTTGTGCTGCTGACAGCAGAGGAAACGCAAACAGCAGGTACTGTGGGGCCATTCCCCCGTGCTGATTTAGTATGCTGCTGCTGCTGCTGCTGCTGCTGCTGCTGCTCCATTTTGCTGCAGGGTAGAGAACGCCAGCTGCTAAAGTGGTCAGATAGCTGCTGCAGGAAATCAGTAACTAGCACACCCTCCTGATTGCTGCTGCTGCTGCTGCTGCAGCTGCTGCTGCAAGTGTTGCCATCTGCTGCTGCAGCATCTTGCTGCTGGTGCTGCTGTTGCTGCTGCTGCTCGGCCCTAGCAAGATCTAGTAGCTCCGCTGTTATATCTAGTGTAAGACCCCCCGTTCCTGCTGCTGCTCCAGCTACTGCTGCTGCTCCTGCTGCTGCTGCTGCAGTGGAGGGACAGTACTGCAGCAGCTGCAGCAGCTCTTGCTGCTGCAGCTGCTTATCTAACTCCCCCCCACTAACAGACTTAAGGACAGTTGGCCCTTCCCTCATTGCTGCTGCTGCTGCTGCGTAGCTTCCCGTTGCAGTAGCATCATTGAGGCACTGCAGCAGCGCGCCCCACCAGCAACTTCTGCTGCTGCTGCTGCTGCTGCTGCATCGAGAGACCCCGCTAAACCCCTGCCCTGCTACTGCTGCTGCTGCTGCTGCAGGGGGATCGCAGCAGAACTGCTGCTGCATACTAGCGCCGCTGCTGCAGCACAGCAGCCTATCCATGTGCTGCAGCAGCGGCTGTGCTGCAAAGAGCAGCAGGAACCGCAGCAGCCGCTGCAGCAGCAAATCGCCCCGTAGCTCTGCTTGCTGCAGCCGCTGCAGCAACAACCGCAGCAAGGCGCCTGATACAGCACCAGCACTCGGGACTGCCCTCCGGCCGCTGCTGCTGCTGCTGTTTGCTGCTGCATGCAGGGCCATCTCCAAGACATGCGCTGTCTCCTCCCAGCAGCGGAGACCCCCACTGAGCTGCTGCTGCAGCGACAGCAGCGTTAGTGGCCTAACAGCAGCAGCAGGAAATGTTGTTGTTGCTGCTGCTGATGGCAATGGGGGGAGAGGGCCTGCTGCTGCTGCTGCTGTTGTAGACTCGGATGGCCGCAGGTCGCATGCATACCCCACCTGCCACTCCTGTTGCAGTTGCTGCAGTTGCTGCAGCCGCAGCAGCAGCAGCTGCGCCTCCCACTGCTGCACCATCAATCGTACACCATAGAGAAAAGCCTCAAGACAGCAGCACCAGGGGCCCCCTCCCTCTTGCTGCTGCTGCTGCTGCTGCTGCCACGTCCTCCCCGGCCACTGCTGCTGGCGCAGTTGCTGCTGCAGTTGCTGCTGCAATTGTTGCTGCAGTTGCTGCTGCAGCGGCAGGTCGAGAAGCAGCTCTGCAAGGGACCCAGGGAGCAGGTCATGTTGCTGCTGCTCAGCTGCAGCAGCAGCTGCTGCTGCTGCAGTTGCTGCTGCATGCGTCGCAACACCTGCAGAGGACGCTGCATAAGACAAGCGCGACTGCAACAGCTTCTGCTGCCGCTGCTGCTGCAGCTCCTGTTGCTGCTGCTGCTGCTGCTGCAGTTGCTCCAGCGACTGTCCAGCAGCAAACGCACGACGCAGCAGCAGCTGCAGCAGCAGCACAGACGAGGCCCCCTTAATAAATGCAGCAGCAGCATGCTGCAGCGCAGCAGCAGACAGGTGCAGCAGCCGCAGAGAAGGGTTGACCTCTAACACCACAGGCGCCTGCTCCCACCTGCTGCTGCTGCTGCTGCTGCTGCTGCTGCGCGGCAGCACGCGCTGCAGCAAAGGGCTGCCATCGCCTCCCCCTAAGGCAGCCAAAAGACGCTCTACTACCCACGCCTCACTGACCTGCAGCAGCAGCAGCAGCAACAGTAGCAACAGCAGCAACAGCAGCACAAAGAGCATAAAAGGGCAGCAGCCGCATGCAGTGACAGCAGCAGCAGCAGCAAAACCATGCAGCAGCGATAGCGCGCAGCAGCAGCGACACCCCAGCAGCAACACCAAAATCTATTTATACAGCAGCACGGGCAACGCTGCTTTTGCTGCTGTTGCTGCAGCAGCTGCTGCTGCTGTTGCTGCTGCTGCTGCTTACAACGGTTTGGTCTTGTCTGTTGCTTTCTAATAGACAGCTCGTCACACGGAATGGCACAGCAACACGGCCTTCTGCTGCTGCTGCTGCTGCTGCTGTTGCTGCTGCTGCTGCTGCATGTGTGCTGCTGTTATCTCCGCATGGCATCAATCGCTGCAGCGCAACAGCAGCAAAAGCAGCAAAACAGAAGCAGATGCAGCAGCACGGACTCTGCGTCGTGCTGCAGCAGCAGCGAATGGAATAGCAGCAGCAGCAACAGCAGCAACAACAGCAGCAGCAGCAGCAGCAGCACACCTCCATAATTCTCTTTTGCAAGCTAACTACATCCAAGGCCTGTTCTTGCTGCTCTTGCTGCTGCTGCTCCTCCTGCTGCAGCTGCTGCTCCTGCTGCTGCAGAACCCCCATCCTTTGGAGGCGTCGTGGTTGAAGACGTTTGACTAGCTGCTGCTGCTGCTGCAGTGCGAGCACGAGCTGCTGCTGCGGTGGCTGCTGCAGCTGCTGCTGCTGCTGCTGCTGCTGTTGCTGGTCTTGTTTATCTCCTATAAAGACACCAGACAGTTGCAGCAAACCCTCCGTTTGCTGCTGCTCCGTTGCTGCTGCTGCTGCTGCTGCATCCTCTTCGAGGCTCCTGTTGCTGCTGTTGCTGCTGCTCCTGCTGCTGCTCCTGCTGCTGCTGCTGCTACGGATGGATTCTCTATACTGGGCATCTTGCTGCTGCATTAACTGCAGCAGCTCTGCTCTTGCTGCTGCTTCTTGTCTTCTCTTCTCCTCTGCTGCTGCAGCCTTTCGAGACACCTGAATGAACCACAAACCCTAAACCCTAAACCCTAAACCCTAAACCCTAAATCCCCGAATGTGGAGCGCCGACCATGGAGGGTGCAGCAGCAGCAGCAGCAGCAACAAGAGACCAGCAGGCAGTAGCAGCAGCAGGTGTGTGTACCTGGTTGTTGTGCTGCAGCAGCAGCAATCTCTCGGGTGTATCTCCATTGCCCACCAGATGTCCCCTAGACAGCAGCAGCAGCAGCAGCAGCGGCGCGCAGCGCTCATCTAGTTGCTGTACGCTGCTGCTGCTGCTGCTGCTGTCGTTGCTGCTGCTGCTGCTGCTGCTGTTAATGAAGGAGGTCCATGCTGCATGCAGCGCTGCTGCTGCTAGAGGCTTCTGCTGCACCTGCAGCTGCTGCTGCAGCTGCTGCAGCTCAGACAGCACAGCAGCACCATCAACTGTCTGCAGCACACAGCAGCAAACAACATACACATTGCAACATTCTGCTGCTGCTGCTGTTGCTGCTGTTGCTGCTGTTGCTGCTGTTGCTGCTTCTGTTGGTGATTGTGGTGGTGGTGAATCTGCTGTTTCTGCTGTTTCTTCTGTTTCTGCTGCTGCAGCTTCTGCTGCTGCTACTACTTCTGCTGCAGCTACTGCAGCAGCTCTTGCTGCTGCTGCTGCTGCTGCTGTTGCTGCTGCTGCTGCTGCTTACTCCGTAGGTATGATTAAGTATTCCTGCTAACATAAATTCAATTGCTTTTCTTTTGTTTTCCTTTGTTAATATAGCGTCGGCGTCCTCCTCCTCCTTGCTGCTGCTGCTGCTGCTGTTGCTGCTGCTGCTGTTGCTGCTGCTGCTGCTGGGAGGTATGCCAAGTACCCTATAGAATTGTCTATCTACATAGGCAGCAGCAAGGCGGCGAATCGTCGCAAGTTGCTGCTCTCTGTAGGCAGAGCTTGACATTGCTGCTGCTGCTGCTGCTGCTGTTGCTGTTGCTGTTGCTGCTGCTGTTGCTGTTGCTGTTGCTGCTGCTGCTGTTGTTGCTGCTCGGTATGAGCTTTTAGTGCTGCTGCTGCTGCTGCTGCTGACGCTGCAGTCTGGCTACCGCTCCTGGCTCTTGCCAACGCGACACCAACCCTTGCTGCAGCATGCGATGCATGCAACAACAACAACAGCAGCAGCAGCAGCAGCAGCAGCAGCAGCAGATTATCCAAAGAGTAGCTCTATAACAATAACAACAAGATTAGCAGCAACAAGAGGAAGTCTTAGATAAGTACGAATAGAGAATAGCAGCAGCGCAACTTGCATGCGCCAGCCGCCTTCTGCTGCTGCTGCTGCTCCTCCTCCTCCACCTGGAGATGAAGCAGCAGCAGCAGCAGCAGCAGCAGCAGACACAGAATGTAGCCGCAGCTTTCTTAGGAATCTCTCTGCATTTAATATAGCAGCAGCATTCAGCAGCAGCAGCACAAACTCAATTAGATGCAGCAGACACAGCGCCATCCTCACACCTCCTCCTTCTTATTATGCTGCAGCAGCTCCTGCTGCTGTTCCTGCTGCTGCTGTTGCTGTTTCTGTT